CAGAAGGTTTCAAGTTTCCATGTCTGTGAATAGAGTAACTTGCAGAAAAGACACTGAAGAGCCTCTGCTGGGACTTTCCCTCCCCACCGGGACGCAGCTGCCGGGGCCGCACGCGCTCCCTCGGGCCGCAAATGAAGGCCCCGGCCCCCTTGGCCCGCTGCATCTGCCTCATGGAGGCGGCGGCAGTCACTGGGTGGCCTGGGCGGCATGTACACTTGAACGCATCTCTGATTCCTGTGGGTTAGTGCTGAGGATGGACTGGGGACGGCGCTAGGAGCCCCCAGTTAGGAAAGAGCACCCACTGTTGGGAGGCCAGGCCCCTATCCCTCAGTTGCCTCTACCAAGGTGCCATGTTTGGTGTTTTTTTGTTTGTTTGTTTTTTTAAGATTTTTATTGGGGAATTGGGAAGGGGGACAGACAAGTTGCTGTCGTTTTTTTGTTGTTGTTGTTGTTGTTGTTGTTCAGTCTAGTTGTGGAGAACGTGGCTTCACTGGCCCAAGTTGGCACCATCATTGCGCTCTTCCCGGGCGAGGCAGATCAGTTGCCGGCTTCTGGACGGCCACTCATTGCAGCTGCTGGCCGCTCACGCTGGCTGCTGGCCACACACGGTAGCCCATGGCTACCCGCTGCCACAGGGGCTGCAGCCTACGCTGGTAACTCACGGGAGCCCAGCTCCAGGTTGAGCTGTTGTTCAGCATCTTAGCTGTAGAGGACAGTGTCACCGGGCCTCATATGTGGGATCTGAACCGGGGTCCTCTGGCGTCCCAAGCCGGCTCTTAACCAACACGCCACTCGGCCGGCCCCCATGTTTGGTTTTAGTCAGGCTGCCCTTTAGATGCTCCCCTGTTCACCCCTCCTTAGGCGCAGGTCTGTAACTTCAAGCGGGAAAACGAAGCCCTGCGCTTGGGCCAGGGCGCCAGCCTGACAGTGGTGAAGCAGAACACGGACGTGGCCTTGCAGAACCTCCGCGTGGTCATGGACAACTCGCGCGCCTCAATCAAGTGAGTGCCAGGGCGAGGTGAGGTTTGCATGGGTGGGGCGGGGCCGGGCCAAGCGGTGCGGTGGGGACTCCCTGAGTGCCGTGTTTCCAGCCACAAGCACACGCCCACCGGGGCTGGGAGTGGGTGTGCTCAATGATGCTCTCAACCCCGAGGTCACCTGACAGGCCAGCAGGCTCTTTAACCCGTCCACATGCCAACAGCCCTTCTTACCTGGGAGGCTTGGGCATTACCATTAGACAGGTCTGAGGCCCGGATACCCCACCTGCACGTACACTCAAGAGGTCCCTAGCACGGTGCCTGGTGCAGTAGGGGCTGCTGGGAGCTGTCGGCCGTGTCACTAGTAATCCTCACCATCTGTGTCCCTCTGGCTGAGAACTGCAGGGGCAGCAATGTCCACAGCACGGCATTTGTATGAGGAAGGCTGAGGTTTCTGTGCTGCTCACTCGGCATGTTCTGGGTCTTGATGGCTTGCCCTTCTGTTGCCCACCTCTGACAGCAGCCTATAATATCCATGTTTTCATTTTAGGCAGTTGGTGTCTGGAGCTGAAACGCTGAATCTCGTTGCCGAAATCCTTAAATCTATAGACAGAATTTCTGAAGTTAAAGAGGAGGAGGAGGAGTAGTCTTGAGAACCACGGAGAAGCTTCCAGCTCACAGCTCTGTTTACATCCTGAAATCCCTACCTACTGGGTCTAAAAATGCCATTGTGTCTTTAAATATGCAGTCTTCGCCCATAGTAAAAATATTTATCATGAGATACTAATTCCATGATCTAGAACAGTGTTATTAGCCAGCCGCGAGGAGGAGCAGCTTCCACAGGTGGGAGGCGCACCTGTAGACCCATGCAGCGCTTCTGGTGAACCCCTGCTGTTTTATAGACTAATGAGCATATTGCAAGACGTTTTTATAAAAGCCACTGATTTTTTAAGTTACTGAACATGAAAACAGCAATTCTGTGATGTGCGGTTTTCATTCTTATTCCACAGCAGTCATTGTAAGATAAGTTCAGTTGATCATTCTTCATTTCACAAGTCGAGAAAAACACTAAATGAGTCGAAATTCAAATGGTTGCCTTGGACAGGGACTTGTGCCTTTAGGCCACCTCTCAGTGCCCCTCTGCCTCCCAGTCCCTCCTGTGGCTTCACAGGGCTGGCTCCTGCGGTTGGTGGCCTGAGTGTGGACACCCCTCATGGTGGATGCTATCCTCCCACAGGAACTGAGGTCACACAGGGAATCCCCACTGTGAAGCCATCTAAAGACACCTTCAGGGGCCTTCAGGTTTGAAAAGCTGCTTTTGGCTGGAGGGTTTTGATACACGTTTCAAGTGGCCTTTTGTACAGTGATGTTTAGAATTCAGGAATTGAGAGGACGTGCCGAGTCCCCTGGGGTTAGCACGAGGTCTCCCAGGCGCCTTTCCGATGTGGGGAGGCATAACGTGCACTCTGCCTTTTTGGCTGTTTTCCTGTAGATGTTATTTTTTAAATTTTCCCTCCTGTTCAGATTGACAGCTTATTTAATAAATTCTAAAATTTATATGCACTGTCTCCCCTATTTTCTGACTTAGCCAGTTCTTTATGAGAATCATGCGAGTACCGTCTAACACGGGGCACACGTCTTGTCCTTGTCATGACAGTGACTTGTGCTGGTATGTGAAGCGTCAGCCTCCTGCCGCGGGGTCCGTTCTCAGCACTGCTGCCTGGGCCTGACCGCAGTGCATGTTTCAAGTCAGGCAGATTGGGTTCGTCAACGGTTAGAGCATTTTTGGAGATCATGCTGAATTTTCACAAGACGTTTAAACTGCCAGACCCTCTGATCTACAGGGAAGAGCCTTCCAGAAGTCGCTGTGGAGTGCTTCCTTCAGCGCACCCTGCCCACCTCGTGCTCCTGCCCATTGGGGAAAAGGGGGTTCTGTTGTCAGAGCGGACTTCAGACAGGTGGTGCAGGAAAGTGCTAAAACGAGGCTCTCTTCCAGGTGTACCCTCAACAGGGAAACATGCTAGGCTGCTCGGGAGGAGGCCTCGGGCTGCAGCCCCGCGAGGGACAGAGCATTCTACAGGGGTTGGGGGGTCTGCAGCACATCACCAGCCTGGCATCCCCTCACCCACCTGCCCACAGGCCAGGCTGGGCCCGAAGCTGGGTGGCACCCAGAGCACATCTCAGATGTTCCACTGACCCTTGACCCTGTACTTCAGCCCCCTCAACTGCTGCGGCTGCAAATGGGCAGCCCCAGGGAGGGGCTAGAGATGTAGCCGGGAGGGGGGCGGGCACATGCTTTGTTACCCCGTTCGCTCCTTTTGTATAGTTAGAAGTGTTTCCTAGTAAAAAACTTGAAAATACAAGTCATGCTGACAGGTTTGTTGAACTTCCATCTCTGCCTCTGGTGGCCGTGCGGCAGGTCCCGGCTACTACAGGAGCTGCGCGGGAAGCGCGGGAGCAGCAGCCGCCCGCCTCGTGGTCTCACGTTCAGCACGGATCCGAGCTCGCCGCTGCCCGCCGCTTCGGAGTGAAACCCGCCTCCGCGATTCACAAGAGGGAGGCCCCTTCAGTTTTCCAGCGGGGTCCTCATCTTCCTAGACTCAGCCCCTCCGCCTCGGCGGTGGGGCTTCGGGCCCTCCCCCCGCGCACGCGGTTCTGCCCCGCCCGGGGCGGACACCCCGAGGGCCCCTGGGGGTGTGCCCGACACCCGGCCTGGCCGGGGCAGCGCCGAGCACTTGACAGGTTTCCTCCTTTGTTGCTCAGCCCAGACCCTACCCACAATTAACAGAGGAAGAAAGGAGCACAAGGGGTGCTGCTGGAGTCCCCCCGCGGGGAGGGCCAGCGTGAGCTGGGGGCCGGTACCCCACCGGGCACCCCCAGGCGGCCCCGCCTGGCGGCGTGCGGACGCGGGCAGTCCCGAGGGCGGCCGCGAGGCGGCAGCACCTGCCCGCCCGCCGCCCGGGGCCGGTCCCGGCGTGCCCCGCGCGCCCAGTGCGGGGACGCGGAGGCGGGACTTCCCGTTCGTGGCGCCCGAGTCGCGCGGTTGCCGGAAGCGTGGTGCGGCGGTGCAGCGGTGCTGCCGGCGGGTGAGGGCGGCGGCGGCTCGCCGGGCCGGGGCGGGGAGGGAGGGAGGCAGGGGCGCAGGAAGGAGAGCGCGCGGGGGCGACGGGCCGGCGCGGGGGGCCCCGAGGCCCCGGCGGCGCAGCCTGCGGTGCTGCCGGCTCGCGGCTCCGGCTGGCTGGCAGCCGAGTCCCGTCCGCGAACGTTTCACCCAGGCGCTTTGTGCGGGGACGGGGCTGTGTCGCTGACCGAGCCGGAGGCTTTCCCAAGCGGCGGCCGCCTCTGTCCCCGTCAGTCTCCAGCCGGAGGGACCGTGCCCCGGCCGGGCGACGCTGCTCTCTCGCTTGCTTCGGGCCCCCTTGCTTATTCTGCCACCTCTCTTTCCAGCTTCCTGCCCCTTCAGGCTTCCCAGCCCGGCGTGCCTGTTCCTTCAAGCATCGTCCAGTGTCAGACACGACGGGCATGTGGCGGGGCCCGCAGCATCCCCGCCCTCAGGGGCTCCCTGTCCTGTGCTCTGTGCTGGCCGCTTGGGCAGTCTATCTCCCCCAACGTTTGCCAGGCGCCCCCAGTCTGCCAAGCTCAGTCTCAGGACAGTGGGTCGCGCCTACAGCTGTTGCCCTGGGTTCAGCGTTCACACAGCCCGTGGGGCTCATCCTTGTCCTCTAGTTGCTGCCACCACACGCTGCTCTTTCTGCGCTGGGTGACCAGCTTGGTCGTGGCCACACTGGTGTCCATCACTCTCCCCGCTGTGCTGGTCGCAGCCTCGGAGCAGGCAGGACCCATTCAGGTGGGTTCAGCCCCTGAGAGCAGAGCGGGGGTTCGCCGAGCCTGGGAGGACGTCAGGGCACAGCCCCAGGGCTCCGCCAGCCCGGTGCCGGCTTTGGTCAGGCCTCTGCCATCCCTTGCAGGTGTGCCTGTCCGTAGAGGAGTGGGATTCCCGCACACCTGTGGCTTCTAACACCTCGTAACGTGTTTTGGAGGCAGGCGGAAGTCATGGATATAGATGCTGAACGAGAAAAAATAACACAGGAGATCAAGGAGCTCGAAAGGATTTTGGATCCCAGCTCCTCAAGTATCCACGTGGAGGTCTCGGAGTCAAGTCTCGAATCGGATGGTGACGCAGGTAAGCTCCTCAGCGTGGCCAGAACAGCCGTGCCTGCCCTCGGCTCCTGTCAGGTGGTTTACACTGTGGTGCTGCTGGGACCAGGCTGCTTCTCGCCAGGACTGGCTTCTGCCTTCACCCCACTGGAGACAGTTTGTTACTGTTCCTTCTTCATTAGCCTCCAGACCTGCTGGGTGCGTGTGAGTGCCCGCCCCGTGGTGGGCATGTGCATCGGGCTGTCCTCAGACAAGGGGCCGGGCTGCCCTCCTCAGGAATTGGCAAGTTCAGCCATGCCCAGGCTTAAACAGCCACCACGGCTGAGATATACCCCTAACCCGCTCTCTTCCCTGGGCTCATCCAACTGCTCTCTTTCTGGGGACCCTGCTACCAAGGTTCATATTCTGCCCACCTACCCACTGCCCGGTGCTCCCCTGGGGCCTGAGTGCCCCCGCCCCGTGGCACTTACTGGAGGCCTGCCTGCGTGGCCGAACTGACCACGGCCCCCAGCCCTGGGAATAGCTCTGAGGCCCAACTTCCCCGGGTTCCCAGCACACCAGGGCTTGCTTTCCCCTGCTGTCGGGGCCTCTGCGTCTGTCCCCTCCCCTTCTGACTAACTCCACTCCCCGAGGTCCCGTCCATCACTGTGAAGCCTCCCCTGATTGTCCGAGGACACTGTTCCCTGCATGCCTGGGGCACTTCTTATTAGGCCTGTGTCTTCTCTTCCTCACTGACTCTGCCCTCGGACCAGTACCTGCCTACCTGGTCAGCGAGTGGTGCTCAGCCACCAGATGCTATCAGGCACCGAAGGCCCAACAGTGCAAGTCTCACCTGGAGGGAGGTCTTTCAGCCCCTCCCTCATCTGCGGCTGTCCAGGAAATGGCCTGTGCTGAACCTGCTGGTCGTCTGCTTGGTGCTTGTGGGTCCCCTCACCAGCCAACCGTTTCCATCCCAGTCACCAACACAGTGTGTTTCTGTTCCCACAGATTCATTGCCCGATGAGGACTTGGACACTGCTGTTCCCCCCATCTCGGTAACTACTGGCCTGAGCTGGCTGTGGCCCCCAAGGCAGACACACCACCCTTCCAGCGGGCCTGGGAGGGAGAGTGCTTTGAACTCATCTCAGTGTTCCTGCGTTTAAAAAGGAATGCGTGTTTGTTATTCAAGATAAAACGTCATAAAGTATTCATCGTCAAAACTAGTGTTGTCCCCGGAAGTGACCGTGGTGACAGCTTGGTGCTTATCTCTCCTGGCTTTTCTGAGCTTCTCCTAATGTATATTTACCTCAGTGTGACGTCCCACGCCTACGTCCTGCCTCTCGCAGCTCACCCCTCTGTGCCTCAGTTTCCCAATCTACAGCGGGGACAGTTACAATCCAAGTCAGTTTGTATATATGAGTGCCTAGAACAGTGCCTGGCAAGAAATCACTCAGTTACACCAAGGAGTAATTGTTCTTTGGTTATTCTAGAATTTTATGCTACTTTGGAAAATTTTTGTTGTTTGCTTTTTGTTTTGTTTTTTTTCACCAAGTCAGTAGGTACAGAGCTGCCTCCTATCTGTAACAGCTGACTGTCCCCCAGTGTGGCTGGACTGTAGCTTTTTAGACGTGTTGGCTTCCAACGGCCGTTTGGATTGCTTCTGCTTTTTGGTTTTGCTAGTACTGCAGCGGCTGTCCCCTGCCAGCGGTGAAAGTTATACAGCCCATTACAGAGTTCAAGGTTTACAGAAACACTTATTGTAGAAAGTGAAACAGCTCGTTTCCGCACACATCTCACACCTCACATTCCTAGAAGTTGACTTTCCCCGTGTTGCAGATGTAGGACATGCACACATTCTGTGTTCTGCGTCAGTGTGGTCTCACGCTAGTCCAGTGGCTGGAACGTGGGCCCAGTGGCTTGTTGCACCACCAAGGGCCTCCAGGGTTGGAGAGCATGTGTGCCCCATTCCCACACCTACAGTTTCCCACTTGTAACCAGGAAGAAGAAAAGTGGGGTGAAGGCAGTAATGATGAGGACGACCCTAAGGACAAAATGCTCCCCGAAGACCCAGAGACATGCCTGCAGCTCAACATGGTCTACCAGGAGGTCATCCAAGAGAAGCTGGCAGAGGTCAGCCTGCTGCTGGCCCAGAACCGGGAGCAGCAGGTAGGACGGACTCCGGCCCCGAGAAGACCCCCGCGGCCAGGCCTCCCAGGACCAGGGCTTTGGGTTGGGTCTGCTCCCCTGCTGCCTGAGTCCCCTTCTCCACAAGCAGTCGCTGCCATCTGGCCCACAGAGGGGCCCCTTGTGTCTCCACAGGAGGAGGTCACGTGGGACCTGGCGGGGTCCAAAGGCCCCAAGGTAAAGGACGGCAAGAGCCTGCCCCCGAATCTGTACATAGGGCACTTCATGAAGCCTTACTTCAAGGACAGGGTCACCGGAGTGGTGAGTCAGCAAGACGGGGCAGCTCTTTGGGGAGGGGCTTGCGGCCCACCATCTGCAGTGGCTGTTGTGAATTCCCTTGGCTCTTTAGGATGATATCCTCTGACATCCTAAAACCCTCTCCTGGTCCAGTGGTGCAAGTCAGGCCTACTCCCCTCAAATGGGACAAGCCGACCTCTGCTCCACGGAGAAGCCCCTGGGATGTTTCCTGAGAGGTGGCCATGGGGGGCGGCTTGGCAGGATTACTGAGTCCTAGCAGTGCAGGGCCCGATGTTGCTACAGGCAGCCCTCCCCTCCTCGTCGACCCTGGTGGAGTCGCTGAGCC